TAAAATCAGAACAACTCGCTGCCGTCGTCTTCCTCAAAACGAGATGTTGGTCGTTACTGCGTTGAACCAGTTGTAAAGAAGCGTGTGAAAGACTACGCAAATGCTTCTGGGCTATATGAATTTTTTGTCCCTCTGAGGCACATGCCGTAACAGGCAAAAGTCGTAACATCCGAACACCAGGATAAAAACAAGTGGTCTTCTTTTGCAAGGGTATCACACGAATATGACGAAAGTCCACAAGTTCTTACAACACGCAACACAACCGAACAAAATGACCGAAAACATAGTTTTCAGTCCATCTGACACATCAGGTGACGTCACAAAAGGCGGAAAACTAAAATTACTGCAAGGGGACCAAAATTAATCGATTCATATTCAAGTCGCCAACCGCACGTCGATATCGTCGAGCAGTACGTCGTCATCGTGTATAATACTGAAATTTATGTATGAAACTGTTACGTGCATAATGATGATGAGTAATAAAATGAGTCAAATAATGGCTATTCTGAATAATAGCTATGTTCGATTCACCCTTTTAGCTTTGAGACGGCCATCAGACGTCAAACGATGCCTTTACTTCATTGATGAATGGGCACTGAAACCCGCTGAAAGCTCGAAGTTGAATCCTACCAGTCTTTTTACCGCCATACTTACAGTCAGTTAAAGCAGAGCGAATTTCGCTGCTGTTTGTTTTCTCTAACTTGTACCCCTCCTCGCTCACCCTGGCTATCGTCGCACACCTTTCCTTAGTACGCCGATGCAGAATTTAATGAAGCAGTTGTCCAATTTCTACACATGAAAATGTTTCGTTACGAGAACTCACTTTGTCTGCCTCCACAGGAAGCTCTGCACCGGCAGTGGAATGCAGCCGCCATCGTTTGTCTCGATCCTCCGTTTGACTCCGGACAAGGACGGTGGATTAGCCATGTCACACGGTATGATATAGTCGACCTGTGACCACAACTCCGTGTATGACGAGGACAAACCTACCACTAATTCATACACCTCGCTCACAACGAACACAAACACATCTGGTAAACAACAAACGGGGCAGATGAATTCAACGCCATTGATTCGATGTCTGAAACTCTCAACTGGCCGCAGCTTGCTGCAGCAGTCCAAGACTAAGTTCGCGTATGTCAGCTCAGCGCAATATCGATTTCTGAACCCTCGCAAATGATATTACTCGCAAACAAGCAGATTCACGCAGAGAGACAGGCACAGCATACACTTGGCCTCTTCGTCTTCTCCCGTTTCCTTAAGGCCGAAATGACTCCTCCATATACCACGCCTCAAGGAAATGGCATTCTTTCAGATCTGGCCGCTCCAGGAGCCCTTCTCTTAATAACTGGAGGGAAATTCAGTTTCGTTTAATTTTTCATATAATCATTTTATCATATGAACTGTAAAATGACGAAAGAATGTTAATGCACATGGTCTGAACTGAGAAATATTCATCGAAACCGACAGACGGGCAAACAAGACAAACGCTCGTGTATCTCCGTGTTGAGCTCTACAAAAGTCAAGTGTCAAGTTAACTGTCATCGACATTTCGGCTCGTGCCTCACTGAAACGCCCTCACGGACCTTCTTCAAGGTGTAGCAACTTCATCGCTGAGGTTCTTCCTGTGATCCGCTGCTGTTGTAACGTTTCGAACATGAACACGACCTTTTGGTCGTGCTCCTGGCTAAGTAGTCATTTTGGCAACAGGCACGATAGGTTCCATTCAGGGTTGATACCCTTCATCCCTGTTGGCGTTGCAAGAAGATTGAATGATTAATGTGTCTTGACGCGTCTATTTAGCCATTGTATTCTTTTGATGATGCCTCTGCAATCTGACCATAAGGGACCGCGACCCATCTCTGTGCCTACTGCATAATCTCAGAAGTCTTTCTCGTTGTTTTTACCTGGTTTCGAGCGAGGATTTGCTGTCTTCCTAGGTGTTCTGTGACAATACGTCGTTATATTCATCTATGATAATTCGTTTTCTCCAGCTCGACAGTAGGTTCTTCGGTATTTGAATGATGGTGTTTCTTTTATCTACTGCATTTTCAATTATATAATAATTTGTACCCTCTTTCACTTTCCATGACCGCTTCTCCTTTCAGATCGTCGAGGCAGACGAGTCAGACGCTAATTTCAACGTTCCTGATCCTATGTCAGCCTCTGAGCTTCAGCAGAAGCCAGCCGAAGTTTAGATTAGACTACCTCGACACACTTGCCTCAGATTAATTAATCTTGACCATCTCCCTGATCGTCTGCCGGTCAATTGAGCAAGCAACAAATGCTTCCCTCTCCTTTTTGTGGGCATTTACAGCGCGTGCCAGAACCAGCAGCGGATGTACACCAAGCCTCTGGTGGATGTCTCTATTCCGGATCATGTCAAGACGCCCAGCGACTCGTTTCAGAAAGTCCATTTCATCCGCTTGTATCTCGGATCAAAGTTACTCAGACATGGTCTACAACGCATGATTGTAG